TTTAAATTGACACTTCAAGTTCAAGATAAAATCGACGATAGATGTTAGGAGGTACTTTACGACACCTACGATATAACGGTCACGTAATTTCTTTGCCCATTCGCGTACAATGTAAAACGCTGGACGACAGTTAAGAAGATAGGTTATCATTTCTTTTTTGTGTGGAGAAGAAGAACGAATAATTAAAGAAAAAAACGATCGCTGACATACCAAGGGTCACGCTCTCAAGAAGGAGAATACCACTAAAACTGACGTGACGTGACGCTTGCATAACTCACTAAGTGTCGCTACATTGCACATCGTAGTGCTGTACGTCAACATATTCTCTCCGGGGCTACTAACTACGCACATAGAGTGTACGTGTACGTGAGCTACGAGATAGGGCTCTAGCACATGAGGCTCTAGTACGACGTACACCATACCAAAATGCTTAAATTTCTCTCTCATTCTGACAAAAGCACTCCTCTACGGAGTCCGGCCTCAACTGTCCCTCTTGCTTCACTTAAAATGCTGTCCCCATAACTTCACCATCCGTCACCTCAAAACAGAGATGAGAAGAAATAGCTAAAACAAATTTCGAAATCACTTGAAATCAGTTAAAACACACTGCAAAAGCGCGAGTGTAGTTTCTAGTCCCTTTGCGTAGCGTTAATTTACAGGCTTACAAAACCATAGAAAATTAAATATTAAGAACTAACTGCAGCTAAATAAAAAATACTGGTTAGGATTTTTTGAATATTGCATTTAGTTTGAATAACAAACAAAAAAAAAACAGTATTTTACTTTTTATTAAAAATTGTAAAACGTTATGTAAGCCGTATAATTTTTAGAGAAAACGTCATTTATGAAAGAAACTAAACTTAAAATAAAATAGCCTAATTATGTACTTAATACTTTGAATAATGTGTATTTTTCTAAATTAAAAAAATGTTTACGTCAATATAATAATATGTCATTTATAACTTTTAGTAGGGGCGTTCAATAAAAAGTGAGAATGAGTTACAGGTTGTGTTACAGGTACAGGTTGTTAAAGGTAACTTTTATTAAAATACATATTATTTAATTTTCCGACACAAGACCTTTTATTATAATACACCTGGAATGTCTTTTTCGAAGCTTAAAATTCCCTTCTTTAATAACTACTCATCCTCAGCACCTAAAAATTCCTGTCCTGCAGCAACTACTGCTTTTTCATCAAATCTCACTCCTCTCAGATATTCATTTCATCGCCGAAATATGTAGGATGCTTAAGCCAACGTCTCGAATTTCAGCTATAACAAGGGCGATCTCGTGAGCCTGGCTGCTATCTTGGTGAAACAAAATAACAAAAAAAATAGCTTGCCTCGCATGGCCTCGCCATTCTCGCGGATTTTGTTGCGCAATTTTTTTTTATTACCGATCGAGATTTTTAATCATTACCACCCCTTGACTGTCCCAAAAAAGTCTTGCGAAATATTTAGTCTGCTCTGCTTCTGCGCATTTATAAGCATCCTGAATGCCCAGCGCGTGTATACTTTTTTCTTTCCCAAGTGTTCAGTATTCCGCCATTCGACTACTGGCGTTAACCACTCGTAACACAAACAATTTAAGCTTACCACGAGTGGTTAAGGGGAATATTAGTAATGTTTATAGCATTGTTAATATTCTTTTTTTTTTAATTAATCGTGCGCCGGCGATCTGCTAAAACATTTTTTTTTACTTTTTAACAATTTCTTAGTCACTGCTATTGTAGAGCGTCCCAAATGAGATTTAGCTTTAGTGGATGTTCTTGACATGTTTAAATTTGTCTCACCAACGTGCAACTACAGTGCAACTGCAGAATACGGCTAACGATATACAGTAAACAAACCACAAAAAATAAGACACAAATATTTCTTTCTTAAAAACAAAAAATAATCAGTTTATTTTTCTAGAGAAAAATTTTAATTTGTATCGTATTCTCACTTTTTTGAACGCCTATCGTACTAGCACGCAGTAATATTATAGAGATACCACGCTTTACACATAGACTTAGTAGCTTTACAAAATAAATTTATAAAGTATATGATTTAAATGATGTCAAACATAAGCTTCTAAATTTTAAGTCCGATATCAATTTAATATCTATTTTTAAAAACTGATGAACGGCTTGCCTTAGCTTTAAGCAAAAAATTTAATTCGTAGCTAGAAAAAATTCGTGAAAACTTGAGACTATGAAGCTACTTATAAATATATACTATTTATAGAAATCAATCAAAAATATGTAAAGATATCTGTTAAAATAAAAACATAAAAAAAATAATGTTTCAACATTACGACAAAAGCGTGTTAAATATATATAAGTAACTGATACTAAGGAAATGATTTTTCGTAGATTGCATATTAATTCATCCGTCCTTATTACCATTGAGTTGTGGACATTAACAATTAGGAGTATTCAAGTCAATAATGTTTTAGAGTTAACTGTTTGACAATTACAATAGCTTATAGAAATAACAAATTAAGCAGCTTATATCGATCAGCTTTATCACTAGGGTAAGTTTAAACAACAAGACGTGTGATTTTTTCGCTAAAATTGTAAGATTTAAAATAATTTAGTATTAAGGTTATCAGATAGCATTTTATTAAAATATTGCGAAATGTGCTATTGGCATACGAGCGGCAAATTTATAAGGCATTTCATATACAGAAATATGACGGAGTACTACTTATAAGTAGGTAAGTATGTATTGACAAATGTTAAAATAATTTCTAGAAAAAATGGCAAAATTTAAAGCAGTAGTGTAATTTTTACGTATCGATACCCTATTGAGTTATGATGAAACTAATAAAGAGTTAATGATTGGATTGAACTAAGTATAAGTACACTATTAATACATATACACACTACATAATATAAATAGTATATAAATTAAACGCCTATAATGTCTGTATTTAATAAAACTATTACAAAGGTAATGGTATGGTTGAAACAACACTACAATAATTTTATTTATATCAGATATCGTTGCAGTAAACATCGTTGTGTCCGTTTCTACGAGACATTTAGTTTTCAACGACCTATATGATTTTAACAACTTTCTGAGTATTAATGAGATATTCTCGAAAAAAATTTGCTGAAAATGTTACCAGATAATCACGCTGGATATACATTTTTTCGCAAATTCTCAAAATTTAGACTTCAGCACAGTAGTCTTCATCGCTAATATATCCTCATATGTAGAAAACGGTCTCAGTATCCATGAATTGACCTGGCTATTATCTACATTTGGTAAACATTTTTTCAATGAATCCTTCATAGAAATTTAAGATTATATGTTAGCTTTGGTTAGAATACGAAGTAAAGAACCGTGGCATAGTCAAGCTAAACCGGGTAGCCCGACCATTAGGCCAAAAATTAATATTAAGTACAAAGCCTAAGATAGCTAGACCATGGATGCTGCAAAGCACACGAAACGTGGTGAATAAAAAAGTATAATAAACGCGATGATACCCGTAAAATTAATTTTATTCAAAACGTACTAACTAACCATCAACTTAAACATTTACAAAAGAAAAACGATCTAACGGAGTTTATTTCGAGATAATGCATATGTTAGGATACCTTTGCGCTGAAAATTGTACATCAATTAACGAAAAAATGCAACGTAAAATCCTTTAAGTGAGGAGTTTTGTCTCATGGTATGTATGTATATTGTATTATAAACCTATATATTCTCTACATACATTTAATTAGTTTCGCGGACACTTTTTCAGACAAAATCCTATCGATTTGTATGAAAAAGATAATGATATACTTATGTGAGATTTTTTTCTTACGCCAAGCAAAGCTCGCTCGCTCAGGTATAAACATAAAGCATATGAAATGACCGCATGACGTAAGTGTTAACGACGACAACGTACGGTTCAAGATTCAAATACGTTTCCACCAATAACGTTATTTCATATAAAAATTAGCATAAGGGTGACTCGGCGATTGCGTTAGAGTTAGCCCACACGGTGCGTTGCATCGTCGCAACGCAAATATTATTACGCCTTGCCGGCCACACAGGCGCAGCGTCATCACAGCGCTGCTACGGGCGCAGTCGTAACGTTCCGTCATCGCAACTGCGACGCACAGTTGCGGCGAACATTTTGTAAATATATCGCAGTGTATAAGGAAACATCAATCGGAAAATGCGTTTGCCAGTGCTCATATTACTACGTCACCGCCAAAATCGACACAAAATCACAAGACGGCATTGGATCTGTCCCTAAATTTTATTAACAGATGGTGGTGTACAGTTTCTTTTTTTTTTGTTAGTATATCAGGATGGTTGTTAGACGAAAAGAAGTTTTATTTTTAAAATTCACATGTGACGTCCCAAATATATATTTCCTTCCTGAATTAATGCAATGAAGTCATCCATGTCAATTTCTTCAATCGTAATCATTTTTAAACTGAATTTTAAAACTGATAAGCTCGATCTCCAGATAAGCGCAGGTGAATAGTATATGATGATGATGTAAATAAGGTATGATCCTTCACTGCTGGCCTTACGAGGAAGCTTAGACGATGATATTCGTAGTTGAAACAGAGTAACCGTTAAACCCCGACGGACCATGCAGCATCGTTGCTCACAACCATGTTTTGTGGTTACGTTTTGTATCGAACTTCTGAAGGGCTGCAATAATGATAATGATGATGATATGGTATAAACATGTTAGATTCTTATTTGTACAGGAGTTTGCGTCTAATGATTGTCCAGACATGTTTTTGAAGTAATGTAGCAATTTTCGGCGCAAAGCACTAAAAAAATATTTAGAAATAGGAAATGGTTGAGCACCATTAAATGTTATTTTGCAATAATTGCATTATTATGTAAGTAAAAAATATATAGCTTCTATTCGGCCTATTCATAAAATGTATAGTGATCCTAATAAATAACACGTAGGTGGATTCTATAAATTGATGTCAATTTGCAATAAAAATCTGCTGAATAAATTTATTGTTTTATTTTCCGAACTTCACAATAACAATTTCATTTCTCTAACAGATACATTTTATACAATTTTTCAGATTCTTCGTCGCTAAAACTGGGATTAAATTTAACTTCGATAACCTCTTTAAAGCCTTCTTTAGTAGTTGGTTCTTGATATTTATTCCTGAAATAAAAAAATAATTAAAAAATCATACGTGGCAGAGCCACGCTGCAGCTATTATTATGGTTGTAGCACGAATGGGTCAGCTCGACCGGGGAAGGACCACGCTCTCACAGAATACCAGCGTAAATAACAGCTTAATACTGCTGTGTTTCGTATGGTGAGTGTAGAGATCCAGAGACCCTTTTTTACTGGAAACGAGGCATTCCATCTTAGTCCTCAGGGGTGACAACGCATCTGCATTTTGCCAGCCACAGCATCCAGTTACAATCAGGTGGACTGTGCTCGTTAGTCACCGTTATTCCATAAAAAAAACTATCAAATATGAGCTGTACAGTTGGCCCTTGAATAGTGTTCGCACGTAACGGAGGAATCATGAGTACAATTGATTGAGTGTAAATTTCTTGCAATTTGTCACAAAATCCCTAGTTCTATATGTTAAAAGTTCTTCTGGGCGTAGGCCTCCTCTCATTTCTGAGAGGGTTTTGTAGGAAGTAAATGTCCGCCGAGCTGCCACAATGCGTGTTAGCAAACTCCACATCTTATTTCTCAGATATAATGCTTCCACACGGTATTTTCCTTCACCGCTGACCATGTGGTAAATCAGCACTTAAAATTGCAATTAACAATTTGATTGGTGTCGGCGGTGATCGAACCCGGGTTGCTCGCACACTGTAAAATTTACAGCGAGAGCTTAGCCCCTGTGCAGTGATGGCTCTTCATTTCTATATGGTAGCTGAAAAAGTCGGTAAACGGTACTGACAACATTCATCACAGTCGGATAGGCTGACATATATTCTACAACTAAAGCTTTGCATTTATAATTACCGGTCTAAATCGATTAATTATTTTTACCATATAGAAAAAAAAGGGTATAAAATTATTTTATATTCGCGTTAATATTACCAAATAAAAAAATTATTAATATTCTTCTTTGTTCACCTATTACACCCAATTTTGAGTCAATCTGTATAAACAGATATTGAGCATTATTTTTTATTATTTTTTTTTTATTATTAAAAATACAAAATTTAGTTTTTAAATATTCATATTCCCACAAAACTGCTTACTGTCTGCAGGAACATTTGAGTCTCATTTACATGATATATAATATTAATGCTAAGCACTGAGACTTGCCAATAAATATTTCTTTAATTTATTTTTAAATATGTTTTTTACTGGTTCACGTCGAATGTCCTCAGGCAAACTATTGAAAAAGTACGGTAGTCGTTTCTTTAAAGTTCTATCCCCGAAGTAGTTATTTACTTTTGGTACAACAAATTTGTGCAGACATCGACCGTGTACCCTGACCATGCTTGACCAGTATTAGAGTACGGTCTCGACAGTTGTAATTGTTTATGGCAAGTAAATATTTATGTTTTAAACTAACTGGGAGTATTTTGCTGATTTTAAATAGTTTTGTGTAATCGCCTCTACAAATAGCTTTAGTTTTTTTATTAACAAGCAACTTTAAAAATCTAATTTAACATTGTATTTGAATTAAATCATCACTTCATCATCATTACAGGCCAACATAAGCAATGTACAGAATAATCGTACTGAACAATAGCTTATTCAACTAAAACACACATCACAATACGACTTATTCAGATAAAATAAGAAATACTCACTTGTAAGAGTGGAAAACAATATCATTTACAGGCAAATGGTTGATCTTCATAAGTTCTCTAAATTTATTGTTATGCTGTGCATGTGATTTTGTGGTAGTCATTTTAGCACATCGACAGTCTACTTTCATTTCTTTCGCGAGTGACGTCCAACGGGCTCGCGATTCTACATCAGGATTTGTACTGTCCACGACAACACTTTTACCTTGCTATAAGAAATATTTTTAATTAATAATTTTATGAGGTAAAATTCAAATGCAGATAATACTAGTCATGGATATGAAAAAGGAAACATTGCTGCACGATTAAAGGTTATTTTCTTCACACGTCAAACATCAAACTTAGATTAAAAAAAGATAATGGGATACTCGAGCTATTACGACTCAAACCGGTAACGCTTTTACTACGTAGTACTATTATTTATTTTTTGCTTTTACTGACTGATCTAGCAAAGTACATATTTGTTTAAAAGTGTATCCACAAATCAACTATATTCTAGATCGAAATACTACTAATATTTACGATCTTAAATTTTCGGTCACTTCCTGTGAGCACGGCATTTGGGATGAAAAATTCTCATAATATCCTCCTTTTTTTGAACTCGGCTAAAAGTTAAGTGGGCAGTCTTATGCAATCATAAAGGTGTCATTTATCATTATGATAGTGCTACACTTACTACTTTTTATATTTTAATGTAAATCTAAGTTGTTATGATTACGTAGGAAGAGCGAGACCCTCCCAAGACAAGTATCTTATGATTACTTTCTGGGAGGCCTCGGCAAACTAACTGCAAAAGATTCACTGAAATAAAACATTTTTATTTTTTATTTTACACTTCGCACAGCTTTCTTAACCCAAGATAATTTATTGGACTTGGGATAGGAAGCCTTACTTCCCCCAACCATATTCACCTGATGTTACACCTACTGTCATCTCCTTTTTTTATAACAAAACAAATTGAATCCGAAAGCTATGGATAAATTTGAAAAAGGACAAAGAACAGCCTACAAGAGTTTTTGGATCTAAATGCGAAGATTTTTAATATGATAATTACTTAATACACTACAATATGTAGTTGAATGTATGAAATTAAAAAAAATTATGTAAGCCAAAAATATAAAACTAAAATTCGGAAATCACAGGCAGACACACTTTACCCCAGATTTTTAAACAAGATTGAGCCTCACTACTACATATTATGGCTGCACTGCACTGCAAATTGGTCGGCTCAACTGGCGAAAGACCTCAAGGAGGGATCACAAGGAAGAAAGGAAAGAAAAAAAGGCTCACATGGTACACCAGAAAAATGGAGTATTATGCCACTGTATTTTGTATGATGAGTCGAGAACCGAAGTTAATCGGACTACCTACAATGGTAGTCCCCATGAGTGACAACTCATGTGCATTCTGATTCTGAATTGAGAAAAGCCTTGCATTCACTTATTATCAAGGGTAGTGTGTCAATTTGTTACCCTTATTAGTATTTATTTAGTATCCTGCTGCACGCGATCAGCAAGTTGAGCAATGACTGGGGAAGATGATGACTTTTCTTCCGATGATGTGTATTTTTGAAATTTTGAATATGAAAAAACTTGCACAAAGATACTTGTTTTATCTGGATCATGATCTCAGGAACCTTAGATCAACTATTTTTAACTGCAGGCCTCACACAAAATGATAAGCATAATAAATAGACTGCAAATAATTTTAATGAACTTTATTTCTTATTTATCCTTTCGATGTTGCGCGCTTCTGTTAAAAGTTAAATATAATTTCGACGGCTCCATGACGCAGTGGCTTAGCAATGGGTGGCTGCGCTGGAGGCCGTGGGTTCGAATCCTGGACGGAACAAGTATTTGTATGCCCTATAAACAATTTTTCTCCGTGTAGTGGCGGTTGAGAATACCCACTACCCCATATCTTCCCTTGGGTGTCGTAAGAGGCGACAGAGGGACACAAAAAGGAGATGGACAGCAGCATCTTCCTAATAACAACAATAAGATAATAAAAAACTGCGGTTGCCAACCCGCTCGCCAAGCGTGGCAACTATGGTAAATATCCCTCCATGAGCAACGACGCAAATAAACGGCCCCCAGTCCCCGGCGGCCCCGCTTTTCCTGGCTACGGTGGCGACCATGGTAACGGCGGGGGTGCTAAGAATCTCCGGTGGAGGTTCGGTTGCCACCTACGACTCGACCTGGCAACGTATAACGCACGCAGCCTGAGGACTGACGAGAAGATACTGGAGCTGGAAGAACAGGTAGACAATTGTGCGCTGGGATATTATTGGATTATCTGAGGTCCGAAGAGAGGGGGAGGACACGGTAATCCTCGAGTCCGGCAACTTGTTCTATCACCGGGAGGGCGACCATCTGTCCCAAGGAGGTGTCGGATTTATCGTCCACAAGTCTCTCGTCAACAACGTTGTAAAGATTGGGAGTGTGTCGACCAGGGTCGCGTACCTGATACTCAGAATCACCAAACGGTATTCGCTGAAGGTCATACAGGTCTACGCACCAACCTCGGCACATCCCGATGAGGAGGTGGAGGAAATGTATGAGGATATTTCTAGAGCCATGCATTCCTCCAAAACCCACTACACGGTGTTGATGGGAGACTTCAACGCAAAACTAGGCACAAGAGAAGACGGTGAGCTGGAAGTTAGGGAAATTTGGAGTAGGGCAACGGAACCGTAGGGGCCAGCAGCTGGCTGACTTTATGGAGAATGAGGGACTCTTTATGATCAACTCTTTGTTTCTTCCAGAAGCGGCCCCACAGGAAGTGGACCTGGTCGAGCTCCGATGGTTCGACAAAAAATGAGATCTACTTCATTATGACGACCAGACGCCAACTGTTCAGTGATGTCTCAGTGATCGCAAGGGTGAAGACCGGCAGCGATCACCGAATGGTTAGAGGCACACTGAACCTTAACGTTAAGTTGGAGAGGTCTCGTCTAATGAAGTCAACGCTCCGTCCCCCTCGTGCTCTGATCCAGAATCCCGAGACTTTTCAGCTCGAGTTACGTAACCGCTTTCAGTGCCTAGAAGATTGCAATGCAGTGGACGATATGAATGACAAGCTTGTGGAAACTGTCCATGCGGTTGGAGCTAAGTTCTGCAAGACCCGCCGCAGAAGAACACAAAAACTCTCCGATGACACTCTTAATCTCATGGCTGTTAGACGGGAGATGAGGCTGCAATCGTCAACAGATTTGACAGCATACAGGCAACTGAACAGACAGATCTCCAAATGCATGCGGCGAGACTTACGCAACTTTAATACTGCTCGTATTAAAGAAGCGATCGAGCGGAACCAGGGCTCCAAAGTCTTTGCCAGAGATCTGTCTGCCAGAAAGAGCCAACTGTCAAAGCTGAAGACTGAGTGTGGCAGCATCGTTTCCGAGACACCTGAATTTTGAGTGAGATTGGGAGGTTCTATGGGCAGCTGTACACATCATCGTTGCAGCCACACGTAAGTGTGAGTAACGATTCAAGAGCAAGTCTTACCCGACACTATTCCGATGATATCCCGGACGTCAGTCTGAGCGAGATTAGAATGGCTCTCCAGCACCGTAAAAACGGCAGAGCCCCAGGCGAGGATGGAATTACAGCGGAGCTTCTGAAAGCGGGTGGAACACCGGTACTTGAAATCCTTCAGAAGCTCTTCAATTCCGTCCTCCATGGTGGTACTACTCCGGAGGCGTGGAGCAGAAGTGCGGTGGTCTTGTTCTTTAAGAAAGGCGACAACGCTCTCTTGAAGAACTACAGACCGATTTCCCTTCTGAGCCGCGTCTACGTGCTGTTTTCGAGAGTCATTACGAATCGTCTCGCACGCAGACTTGACGACTTCCAGCCTCCCGAACAAGCCGGTTTCCGAAAAGGCTTCAGTACCATAGACCACATACATACCCTGCGGCAGATTGTACAGAAGACTGAAGAGTACTATCTGCCACTTTGCCTGGCGTATGTGGACTATGAGAAAGCCTTTGATTCCGTCGAAATTTGGTCGGTGCTACAGTCCCTTCAGCGGTGTCAAGTTGACTGTCGGTATATCGAAGTGCTGAAGTGTTTGTACAGTAGGGCTACGATGGCTATCCGAGTACAGAACCAGAGTTCGAATCCTATCCAACTGCAGAGAGGTGTAAGATAGGGTGACGTTATATCCCCGATACTCTTCACCGCTGAGTTGGAAGACGTTTTCAAGCTACTGGACTGGAAAGGATACGGTATTAACATCAATGGCGAGTATATCACTCACCTTCGATTTGCCGATGATATAGTCCTTATGGCAGAATCCCTGGAGGACATTGAGCACTATGCTCAATGACCTCAATGGTGTCTCCCAACGGATAGGTCTTAAGATGAACATGGACAAAACAAAGATCATGTTTAATGTCCATGTCACACCTATGCCGGTAGTTGTCGGGAGCACTATGCTCGAAGTTGTTGACGAGTACGTTTACCTGGGACAAATAGTCCGACTAGGTAAGTCCAACTTCGACCGAGAGGTCAATCGACGAATTCAATGCGGCTGGGCAGCGTTCGGGAAATTACGACACATCTTCTCGTCAGGTATACCTCAATCTCTGAAAACTAAAGTGTACAACCAGTACGTTTTGCCAGTGATGACTTATGGATCAGAGACGTGGTCCTTCACTGCTGGCCGTATGAGGACGCTCAAGGTCGCTCAGCGAGCTATGGAGAGGGCTGTGCTCGGAGTTTCTCTGCGTGATAGACTCAGAAATGAGGATATCCGCAGTAAAACCAGATAGGGATTAGTAAACTAAAGTGGCAATGGGCCGGCCATATAGCTCGAAGAACCGATAACCGATGGGGAAGAAAGGTTCTCGAGTGGCAGCCTCGTACCGGTAGGCGTAGTGTAGGGCGACCCCCCACTAGGTGGAGTGACGACCTGGTAAGACATGCAGGAAGTCGATGGATGCAGGTGGCTCAGGACCGTGTTTTGTGGCATTGCTGGGGGGGAGGCCTATGTTCAGCAGTGGACTTGTGAAGGGCTGTAATGATGATGATGATAAACAATTTTTCAGTGTCTGGATGTTTATCCTTGTGCAATTTATGTTTGCAACTGCCTCCACGATATGAAGAAAAACTAGGATTTAAAAAAGAGAAATTTTTTATTTTAACCATCAATTAAAATATTATTGCCAGTTTTTTGCATAATATAAACTCATACAAACACCTGAAGTTGGTGTCAAAAGGAGCAGTTGGCATTGATATTGAATACAGTATTTACTACAATAATCAGTATTGGTATTGAATGGGAAAATTATATATCGTTACATTACTAAAAATTACATATTAAAAATCAGTTTACAGAGTTAACATAAGAAACAGAATATTATGTAGCCTTGACAGGGGCCATCAACCATCCTATCCCTTTTTAAATACCCTGATTCCCTCCCTACCCCTCGGTACCCTCCGTTATACCCTGGTTGATCAATATCTTCATCATTCTTCATTATTTTTAATCAAGGACGAATCAGCATCAATCCTTAATTGAGAATTCTCATTCATGGTATAAGAGAGAGAAAGAGAGAGAGAGAGAGGGATAGAGAGGGATAGAGTAGCCTCTATGAGGTGGTCAATTGTCAAAAAATATTAAGTATAGCTGTGCAATAGCATTATAAATAAATCAATCCCTCATATCATTATCATGGTATCTAATTCATCAGCATACATTGCCTCAGAGGCGGAAAATTTGTCATAGTGCCCTCACTAGGTAGATGGGTTGGCAACTGCATTTTTTTTAAATTATTTTTGGGTATTCATCAAGAACATGCTGCCTCCCACCTCCTGTTTCTTCAGTTGCCTATTATAACACTACTGGTATGATGTATATGTAAGACGCAGTGACAGTGTAAGTAAAACAAATACAATAATATTTTAATAAAAACCATAATATTTTTAATTTTATGTCATTGATGATCAGTTTTATAGTATGGATTTTTGATACCTTTTAATAAGAAAACTATTTCGCCACTCTGCATACATACCTGTAACAATCTAGTTGCCTCAGCCGCACATTTTTGCCATGAGCCAAGCACATCTCTACATACAGATACATATTTATATGTAGACTTCTCTTCAATTTGTTTTGCAAGGAATGATTTGCCACTGCCCGGATATCCCACTAAAACAAGTATCTGAAACAATTTAATACACATTGAAAAGACAATTTATGTAACCAAATAATGCTCTTTTAAATAGTCTAACAATTAAGTGATTTTTTATATATACGTGAACACTACACATTTAAATAAAACTAGTTTTACCTATTTTATTGCATTTTAACTTATTTTATATTCTTAAAGTTTTGAGTCACAGAAGGGAACTGAGGTGTTCAACGTCCCATTGTCGTAGTTAACCATGGCAACATCCAGATTAAAATTATAATTTTTTTAAATTGTTTTTTTGATATATGCAGTACTTGTAGTGACTGGAAGTCTGACAGTTGTATGCTTGCGTTGAAATGAGACCAGCCATCTTCTCTAGTAAAATTAGGATATTTTTTGATTTCAATAGTCACACAAATCACCCTTGAAAGGAATCAGTGTTCTTTAGCAAGGATTTGTGATCTATCATATCTGATGTAGTGACGGAGTCGATCCTGTACATGTTCACGGACTGCAGACTTCCCGGAGCGTCGATTCTCGTGATGTGACCATGGGTGATGTAAAGTGCTTGAAACGTCGGGAATATAGAATAAGTTCATATAAGCAATATAATCCATAAAAATTAGTTTTAATTAGCAACTACTTTTTTTGAAATTCAAATGTGTATAAATAGCACCACAAAAATAGGAGTGGAAACAAGGAACTTGAAAAGTAATAATATAATGATTAAGTTATATAATATGAAAAAATTTCAATAATATAATAGTAATAAAACTTCCATATAATAATATTAACACTTTCTTAAAGTAACTTGTACTTTGTATTTTTACAAATAACTAATACTCACCTCTTTTTCTTTACTTATAAGATTATCGTTGAAAGGTTCTGATACAAGTTCTTTAGGAATAAAATCTGGTTTAGCCATTGGTACATTTGCAACAGAATGTCCAAGAAAGAATTCCTCAGGTGTATAAAATTTAAGACCCAGGTTTTCAGCTAACAATTTATCAGCCATGGAATGATCTTTTTTTTTACCAGGTGCCCAATTGGCAACCCTACCAGCTGCATCACCACAGTAGAAACTAGCATTCATATCTACTGGTAAACCATCATTTTTCTGTAATGCATAAGTTATTTTTATTATAACATAATTTAATAGCCTTTTAACCCTTCAATTGCAATAAAAATCCCATGCAGTTGCAAGCGCCCGGCAAATCCCGAGCGGTCGCATTCGACCGCACCCACCCACAGCATCTAAAACCATTAAAACTTATATTTAGACTACTTTTCTTGAAGAAGTTTGGCATTATAAAATCTATACAAAATTCTCTATCCTGTGGTCTAAACAAAAGTTAGGTTTTACTTCATTACAAAGATTTTATTGTATTTTGATAACAAAGAAAAACATACCAAGCGAATGTAGGCAGCATGAAAATGACAATTATTTCAATATATATTACTTGAAATTATTTACATAAAAAGATAAATTATATTCACACAAAAACTTTCATTACAATTTTATAATAAAACACTATACTAAAACACTAATAAAACACTAGAAAAAACCAAAAATTAACATTAACTCGAAAATGGTGTACGAAATGAACGTAGATTATAAATAAATATCCATAGGATAACTGTTTTTTTTATTGCACTAGAGCAGTAATTCCCAAAGTGGTTTATGTCGACCCCTAGGGGTCTATGACAACCTGCAAGGGGTCTAAGTCAGCGAAAAAAAATTTGGGGGTCCATGAAACGAAAATGGGGATCCACAATAGTGGATCTCAACACATACACTGATAGTACCTATATACTTACATCATACTATCTTATAATATCAAAACATATGCATTATATATAAAAGATTTATAGTTTATTTTATATTTATTTAATGTTATGTATATTTTACATAACAGATACAAAATTTTATTTTGAGTAGTTTTAATTTAAATTCAATTGATAAATGTATAACATTGTTTGTAGACATGTGTTTTTACTTTAAGTTTTTAACACTAAACTTCACTACAGTTAGAAATTTACAGGAAATCAATATCAGGTAAGTAGGGGGTCTACCCTGTTGGGTAAAATATGGGAAGGGGACTACGACACAAAAAAGTTTGGGGAACTCTGCACTAGAGGATTGAAAATTTCATATTGATTCTATAATACCAAACTTCTTCACAGAAAAGTAGTCTCTATATTTAAGTTTTTAAGGGTTAAAGTGCTGTGGGTGGGTATGGTCTCATAAGACCGCTGGGGATTTGACGGAATATGGACGCGGTCTCATTAGACTGCTAGCGGATTGAGAGGTTAAATAAAATCAAACCTTTTCAGTGAGCACTTTCCACATGCCTGGTGTAGGTTTTCTATAAAACCCTCTTCCTGTTGCTATAAAAACCTGAATGGGAATATTTATTTTGGCAACTAAATTTTCAATTTTTTTTCTTAAAATCTTCTATATTTACTCTTCCTTTGCCAATAGGGGCTTGATTGCTCATTATTACAACTTTATAACCATTTTCTAACTGTTCCTTTAACTTGGAAGGCACAATGGGAAAAGCTAACTGCCAGTCATTGGTATCAACTGGATGAACTTTGCCTGACTTTGTTTTGATCAAAGTTCCATCCATATCAAAAGCAGCAATTTTTTTACTTGACTTAACACCTTTTGACGTGAAAATATACAACTCAGTTCCATCAACTCCTTCCCAAAAATCTTCCATAGCTTCCTTTAAGTTTAAATTTTCATTTGTATGTACTAAAGTTTTGTTGCATTTTTTCTTTTTAAAAGAAGTATCTTCATCTTCTATTTTTCTTTTTCTGTTTTTAATCGGCGTACAATCTTCGGGTGGAGGCTCAAATTCAACTATGTGAACGTAATTATTCAATAGAACTTCAATTCTACTTTCATGTCCAACTTTATATGTGCAATTTCTTTTCAAAGCAAAACCATCTAAACCAGACGGATTTATACCTAGTTGCTTAACCTCAACAATACAATCGTCACAATTGGCTTTGAGGCTAACTACAATAAAAAGTAAAGTTTATGCCAAAATATGATAAAAAATACCGGATATTATGATCACGATTTTAGGCTTACTTACTTTGCTGACGAGAACAAGACTGGTCTTTAATTTTTGTTATTTTACTACGACCTACAAATATTTCGACATTATGCGGTAAATTAATAGGCGCATGCGAATCAAGTAAACATTTAAGAAAACATAACCGGCTCATTGTATAATATTTCTATATATCTGTATCTCTGTGACCTTTATTTGTATGATAACTTTGTCCAAGTCAAAGAGTATAGTAACTGTCCTGTTAAGGAAGTCCAAGTTTTGGTTCCTTGGTGGACTTGGACAAATTATTTCTAGTACACTTCATAGTAAATTAATTTGTTATTGCCAAACAGAACAAAACACAGCTGTAAGTAAGGGGCTAAGCAGTGTTGCCAGACTTTTTCACCTTCCCCCCTATATTTTTCCAAAAAACCCCTAGTTTCCATATGTAGGGGGATAAAAAACCTCTGAAATTTAATTCGGCCAAGTTTCGTGAGAATCAGATTTATCAAAAAAAAGTTTCTGCCACATACAAGCTACGTACTTAGACCATTCAACCCAATGGACGAAAAATGCGCCTAATGCTACGAATAAAAAAGTCTGTCACTTTTGGTGCGGCGTAAGAAACACCAGTATTACATAGACAGTACTGCACCCCTACTCAATAAAATTTTGTATCACTAAGGCACACACAAATCTAAATCTCTAACACTATATATAATCATATAATCTTTATGCACACATGTAGGTAAAATACATCAATATAGAAAAAGTTACGAGTATGAGACGGACAAATTAATTGCGATACTACTATATCGATATTTTATATCGATAATGAATTGTCGGCATTGTCTATTTGAAAAAGAATTCGGAAGTTGGTAAGACTAGTGAAAAACCTTCAGAAAAACCTCTAGATTAATTTCGTGATATTAAAACCTCTAAATAAAACCTAAACGTCCTCCAAAAACCCCTAGATTGAGGAAAAAAAACCTCTAGATCTGGCAGCACTGGGGCTAAGTGGTAACTGTCAAGTGTCAACTGTCATCTGCATCAGAGTTGCCACCTCAAAAATTAACTTGTCACTAGATCCAAAGTAAAATGTGACCATATTTTGGAAATCTGGATTGAAAATATATCATCAGATCTCGCTATTTTTTTTAATTAAAAACTTTAAAAACTTTTACACCAATTTTAAAATAAAACACTATACTAAAACACTAATAAAACACTACAAAAATCCAAAAATCAGCACAACAAAACACGATAACATCCACACGAAAATGGCGCAAGTAATGAACGTGGATTATAAATAAGCAACTATAGGTATTTGACTTTTTATTACACTAGAGAATAGAAAATTTCATAATAAAGATATTAATTAATTTACAACCTTCCGCTAACTAAATACAATGATGTGTCTTTCCTGGATTAAAGAGCACCTCCCGCCCTCCCTCAATTGCGTGCACCAATCCCGTCATCACTAATCCCGGCACCACTACTCCCAACACCACTACTCCCGGGACCACTACTCCCAACACCAATATTCCAGGAAAGACACACCATCGACGATAATACAATATTGTATTATCGTATTACATAGCTGATGACTATGTAACACATGACCCAAAGTTAACACAATAACCTTCATGAATTCCTTTCTAATCAGAATCAATCAATTAAAATTTACTGAATTAAACGTGATAAAATCCGTACAAGTACTTTTACTCAATGTGTAGTGTTCGCGTAAACATAAGGAATCATAAAATATCATTTACTTAAAACACTATATCTGTTTCTAATCAAAGTAATTGAGTATAACACACAAAATATTCAGTCAAATAAATATATCTTCACATGACTTACCTTGTTGAGTGTCAACTTCCATCATTTCATATTAATATTTTGAAAATTAGATGGCATCGTGGACATCAGAACACCTATAAATAAAAAGGACATATATGTTGGGTATTGCATTATTTACTAATTGCAACTATAAGTTATACAACCAGTTTGTTGACAGTGATTACATATGGATCCGAGATGTGGTTTTCTGCTGGAAAGCTCAAGGTCACTTAGAGTGCTATGATAGACTTAGAAATGAGGGTATTTGCAGTAGAATCAGAGTAAGTAACATAATACATTAACAATCTGAAGTGGCAATGGACCGGCAATGCAGCTCGAAGAACCGACAATAGATGGAAAAGAAAGTTTCTCAAGTGGCAACCTTGTGCCGGTAGCCACCCACTAGATGGAGTGATTACCTGATAAGATGATACACAGGAAGTCGATAGACGCTGGTGGCTCAGAAGTGTGCTTTGTGGCATTTCATGGGGAGGCCAATGTTCAGCTGTGGACTTATGAAGGGCTGTAATCATGATCATGATGATGAACTAAAAGTTTTTTAAACAGTAGAATAAAAGGAAAAAAACCACTAAAAGCAAAACAAGTTCTTATAAAACTTCTCTGGGATCAAAGATATTTTAGGCCGGCCACACATGGAGTTCCGTTACGGTCGGGACGAATGACCCGTCACACACCTACGGTAGTTTTCCGTTCGAAATTTTGCGGGCAAAACGGAATTCCGTAAGTGTGTGACCGGGCCGACCCGTTCGTTCCGTTTCGGAATTCCGAAATGGAATTCCGTTTGTAGTTTTTGGCTGGCCTTATAATATTGTCTGTGATGAGTACAGTGTCACAAACTACGGACGAACGTTATTTGTTCAGGTGGACAGACAGGTGTTAAGTGGAAAAGGTTGCTATCATGGAGTGTAGAGATAAGGAGAACCAACTCACATAGGAAAATAGTTAAAAAAGTGTCCATCTGTAAACAGTAAATAACATTTCAAAAATTCTCCACAACAGCGCTGGAGTAGCTAGAGGGTATGAAGTGAATTTAGAAATCATCGACGGAGTGAAACATAGAATAATATAATACATACATAATTGAACGGGGGAGTGGGTGGAGCCCGCGTAGCCACCAAAATGTCACTAAGACGTCAATTCACACGTATAAATGTCAACACGAGATATGTTTTGACGTTACAATCTTTTCCAAATTTCGCATGCAAATTATTTAAAAAAATTCCAAATTGCACTCTATTCACAAATTAAAATTTAAACGATTTTTTTAATGATGATCTTGAACATTATGTTTTTATATAATGGAGTTTGGCGACGCCAAATCTCGTACAAATAAAGTTGACAGCCATTCTATCGTGTATTATAGTTTTCTATGGAGTGAAATGTGCTGAGTTGAGGAATTTAATATTTGTGGTGCCTAAAGTAGTTGATGAAACTGCAGTATTTAAAACCTCAACATATTATATATTTTAGACAACGTGAGCAACGTTGTCTAAAATAATTTAGTAAATATAACCTAGAAAAAGTCACCGTTTAATACGTTGAGAGTGGTTTTGAAAATAAAATATTTGGAAACAATAAAATAATTATAATAAAAGAATTATGGTGAGTCTGTGCAACAAAATGTTATAAAAAGTTCTTCAAAATTTACTCTCTAGCTACAGTGGTGCCACCCTTCTTTAACTCTTTTCTACAGACACTTTTTGATATACAGTCCGTTCTCCTCGTAGACAGAGTTCTCTGTCTACGGTTCTACGTACCTCTACACTCCATAGTTGCTATTTAAAAATAACTTTCAATGCGAGCGTGCATGAGTTAAGGCTGAACACCCCTGCCAAATCTCATTCGTTCGCACATCATCAGCAATCCCATCTGGGTCAAGTGTATGCAGTAAATAAGCTTAGTAAATAGTTTTGTTGGATATAATTTAAGTATAAATAAACGATTGTAATCATTTAATATCGAATATTGTAGTAATAAACTTCTTACTGTAACTCTGTCCAAATAAATAAAATATTTTTTTTATTGAAGCCTGGTTCATTATCTTAATTGGCGCAGTCGGTAAGACCAAGTATTATTTCGTGGCGAATAAAGGTCTTCGCAGAAAAATCGGTCGTACGTCTTAACGTTTTAATCGGGGAAAAAGGAACAAACAAATTTATTAAGGAACGGACCAACTTATAGGACGGAGCACCAATATTCCAGAAGGAACATGGGAAAAACTGCAGCACTGTGAGTAGATCTTCTTCACCAATCTGTATTTTACTACCCTTCTTATTTTTTGTGTGTTTATAATCTGGTTTTTTGTGGGATTAATTACGCCTAATTACTAGATAAATTCACACTTAGTTAATTATTCTAATTAGTTAAGTATTTGAGGAATTTAAATTATTTCATTTAATTTCCTTATAAAGTCACTTAATAACCGAAGAGTATTTTTTTAATGGTATTGTATTCTGTAACAAAAAGAAAGAAAAATAGAAAATTTAGTGAGACCGGATGGTTAAAATTATCCCTAATTTCGATGGTGATACTAGACTTTTACCACTCTTTAGTAAAAAATGCGAGTACATACTCCATTCATTCCAAGGAAGCCAGTTACAAAACGAATATTTATTCCATGTTATCACAAGTAGGTTATCCGGGGAAGCGGCGAACCTAGTTGGAGAACAGGATCATATTGATAATTGGGACGATTTAAAAACATTACGAAGCCAACATTTTGGTGACCCGAGATCCGAGGAATGTCTGGCTTTGGAACTCGAATCCTTAAAGTTAAACCGTAATGAAAATTACCAGAAATTTTGTCACAGGATACAACATTTGAGAAGTGTCTTATTTTCTAAGGTTAGAGAAACGATTGACGATCCGAACTTACGTCTAGCGAAACAGTTCACTAAATGCGTTTCTTTATAATTTACCGGCATATTTAGTTAGACTTGTGAGATTACGGAACGTGACTACTCTAGAGGACACCATGAAAATTGTCTTAGAAGAACAAAACTTTTAGTCAGGTTATGAAAGTAAAAATTCACGGTCTAATCGAACAAACTGTAGGCCGAGTCCTAACAATAATCACACTTATTCACCTAGAAATGTCCCCCATACGGAGCAATCTAGTGCAAATACATTTAATAATCAGAACAATTTGTCACCCTACATTAATAATAACCGCTCTTTTAACTCGTCAAATAATTCATTCCAATTTAGGCAAAATAACAACCGTAACAATAACCATCGCAATAATTATCAACAGCAATCGATAACTAGGTCACCAGTACCACCGGCGCCGGGCCCGATACAGCGTAGTCAGTATTTCGCGGACAATGCCCCTGCGCATACTCAGCGTCTAACGCAATACCAATCGCCACCTGTGGTGTCGAGTTCGAACACCGATGTAACAATGCGAACTGCTAACTCAAGGAGAATAAACTAAGTATACCAAGAGCGAAATAAATCAACCTTGCAATTTACAACAATGTATTGCATAAAACAGTATAATAATTCGGATTGGGCTGAAATTAAAAATTTTCACAGCCCTGACGAGACCAATAGAATAAAAATTAATTGTACGAAACTTTTGAATTTACCACATATCCGTATACCTGAACTAAAAGCTGTCTTTATGATAGACTACCAGTGTAGTACTAGGTCATTTATTAGTCCAGAACTAGCAAAAAAATATTATAGCGATTCGGTACACTTAGAACCGTTTGAGGTTATTAGTACTCACACTGCCAGTAAACACGGAGAAGTTGTCTACACAAAGTTACCGAGTATCTTTCATAGTCCACAAAAACACTAGTTTTATGTAAATAGCATAGACGAAAGGTACGATGGGTTAATAGGTAGTGATCTCTTAAAATCGCTTGACGCTACCATGAAAAACCTAACTTTATATAGAAATAATACTAACATCCCAATTATTTACTCACCGCCAATGAGAGAGACATATAATCTGCTTCCTCGCTGCGAATTAAGAGTTAAATTACCAGTCAACTTATTAAATGGTGAAGCTATATTAAACTACGTGCAGTTTACAGAAGGTATCCAAATGCCTGACGCGATAGTAAATTGCAAAAATGGTTTTGCAACCACAGTTATACAAAACTGCACAGACAGTGAACAAAAATTAGTGGTCACATCACCATTTAAAGTTGAGATTTTTTATGACACATATAACAATAGCTTGAATTTTACAGAAAGTAAAAATAATAATTTAAATATATAACTAGAGGAAAACTTAGACTAGAGCACATGAACGAAGAGGAAAAATCGGTGATAGGTAAATTGTGTAGGGAATATAAGGATATATTCTATTGTGAAAACATACCGCTATCCTTTACATACTACGTTAAGCATAAGATTAGGACGAAGAATGAGGACCCTATTAATAAAACAATATTAAATACTTTATATCAAATTTCGAACAATTTTAGATGTAATACAAGCAATAGAAACAGCTATTGCTTTTAGTAAATTACATACTTTACATCAATCAATCATAAATTCAATAGAACTATTAAATATGTTAATAAATATAGAAAAATATGCCAAATTGATTTACCCAGCAAATAAGGAAAATTTAATTAAGTTAGAAAGAAATATAGTAGTTAAATCGTATGTCAATAGGAATAACTTAGTTTTTGTATTAGATATCCCACTAATTGAACCAGACATATATACATACTACAAAATAATACCAATTCCAATATCTAATTCCGATGTTACCCATATCATAATCCCATCATATCCTTTCCTATTGGTGAAAAGATTGAAATACCGATCAGCGGTGAGTCCCTGTGAAGAAATGGACGATGAAAAGTTCTTATGCCCAGAGGAAAGTCTCGCAGAGTATCCAGCTGAAACATAATTATATTGAGCAAATAATGCAGATGAAAACCAACCACAGTAGCTGCCAGCAACATAATATACGATTGGAGAATTTGAAAATTCAGAGGATCTTCAAGAACTATTGGCTACTCTATACCACTAAGGACTTGATAATATCTGAACACTGTCCAG